ACCAGAAGTGTGTGGTGGAAGAATGTATAGCTGTGATCAAATTGTAGAAGGCATTGTCAAGGCCAAATAACACACCTTGGAAGAAGCGGCAAGGTGCTGACTGGGCGGCATCTAGGCAAGCATCTATGGACAGTTACTTGGTGCACAGAGAGTCTTTGCCACAGAAATGGAAAGACAGTTTGATAAAAGTGGGTCTAGCAAATTCCAGTGGTTACTCTGGAGAATAATTCAGTCATGAGTCTTGTGTTGAAATTTTGCTCTGTGGTTTATTTTCCTTAGCAGTTTATATGCTTTTATTTCAAAAAATTTAAGTGAAAGCAAAAATTTCACAGTACAAAATGATCATCCTTGGGGGCACCTGAAGACCAGTTCCAGGCCCCCCCAAGTGTGTCAAATGACTGCGATGCTCATGGCCCTTCTATAAAATGCTCCAGCATGTGTATGCGCTCCGTGCAATCATCTCATCTACTTTAAGTCACTCTAGATTACCCATGAGACAACACCATATCCGTGCTAAAGGAATAGGTGCTTTACTGTACTGTTCATGGAACAATGTCGGGGAAAAAGTCTGAACATGTTTAGACACATTTTTAACAATTCTTAAGAATACTTAGAAAAAAATGTATGTGGGAGACAGAGAGAGAACTCGCCCATTCACCAGTTCACTTTCCAAATGCCCGTGATGGTTGCAGCTGCAGCAGGCCAAAGCCTGGAGCAGGGCACTTCAACCTGGGTCTTCCACGTGCGTGTCAGGGATGCAAGTTCATGAGCCATCACCTGCTGCCCTCTCGGATGCTCATGAGCAGGGAGCTGGAGGAGAGAGCAGAGCTGGGACTTGAAAACTTGGGCATTCTGTGACAGGATGCTACTCGTGTGGAAGGCCTGGTTTGAGTTCTAGACTCCTAGCTCAGCCCTTGCCTGCCCTGCCCTCATGCATCTCCCTACCCCTGGCTGTTGCAAGCATTTGGAAAGTGAGCCAGCCTCTGTATTTTGTTTCTCAAATAAATAATAACAATAGTAATAAATCCATTCTTGGATGTCAGTATAGTAATATCTAGTCTGTGACGGTGTTCTTTGTTTTGTTTTTGGTTTCTTGTCTCGTGGTCACAAGAACCACGTTGGCTGAATTTTTGTCTCTGTTTTCACAACTGGAGAGCAGCTCCCCCTGAGTCTAAAATCCTGCCCAGAACATTTTTGACACCTGCCACCACCCCTGCCATAAATATCTTACAACCCAGAAGGCTTCCTCAGTGACTATTCATGGAGTTGATTTATTAAGCTGGGTTTTAACAGAACTTGACACATTCAGCCCAGCCACATCCCCTGGCTCCCTGAAACCTTTGTGGTTTGCGGGGAGCTGAGTGGAAGAGAACTCCTGGTGGGACCACACATACCCATGGAGACATCCCAGTGGCCATGAACTATTGGTTCTTTAGTTTCCTCTACCGGTGAAATCAGCACAAGCTGGTTAGCTCTTCCTTTATTTCTGGTTATTTCTTTTATTTCTGCAATGCAGTGAGTTTGTTCCAGCAGGTTCTGATGAATAACACCCCCCCACCCCCCCTCCCCGTGTTATTCATCGTCCTCCAGGGCCTGCCCACTTTAACTTGCTTTAACCCTCCCTGTCACTGCTTCCTGCACAAGCCCATCTTCCAGCTGCTTGCCCTGCCAGTTCCTTGTGATTCTTTAGGTGTTGACTAAAATGCACTTCCTTAAGGGGCTGCTCGGGCCCTGTGGACCAGGCTATATATCTATATCTATCTATCTATCTATCTATCTATCTATCTATCTATCTATCTATCATCTATCTATCTATCTTCCCCACTAGACTGTAAACTGTATTACAGCAGGAAAGGCACACCCTTCTGGCCAGTTAGGACTAAGTTACACTACATCTATTTCTCTCCCCTACGAAGCCTCTTGCCTTGGGGGCTGGAACAGTGGCATAGCAGGCAAAGCTTCCAACCCAAAGTACCGGCATCTCATATGGATGTTTATTCACAGCCTGGTGGATCCACTTCTGATCCAGCTCCCTGATGGAAATGCAGCAGAAGCTCCTGGGTCCTGACTTCGGAGTGGCCCAGCTCCAGCTGCTGTGGCAGTATGGGGAGTGAACCTGCAGATGAAAGATCTCTAGCTCTCTGTCTTTGTAACTTTGCCTTTCAAATAACAAATCTGAAAAGAAGGAAGGAAGAAGGGAAAGCAGCAGAAGTCCCCACCGGAGGCACCTTGGGGTTGATGTGGCAGATCTATAGCCTTTGATTGCTCCTGAAGGCTGCTCTGCTGAGCAGGTTCCCTGATTCCGGAGAGCAGAGAACATGGAGCCAGCCAGCAAGAAACATTCTGTGTCCTCTTTTTAAAGATTTATCTATTTGAGATGTAGAGATACAGAGAGAGAGAAGTCTCCCGGATAGTAGCCTGGCACTCAATCCAGGCCTGCCAAGTGGGTGACAGGAACCGAACTGCTGGAGCCATCACTGCTGCCTCCTGGGGTCTGCATTATAATAGGAGACACTGACCATGTTGGATTCGTGCCCATCCTATTGACTGTCCCAACCTGTCCCAAATGAGGTCACATTTGAAGGGCCTTGAGACCCTATTCATCATTGACCACAAATCAACCCATCACAAAAGCTTAGGATTGGGCCTACATGGTAGTCTAGCAGCTAAAGTCCTCGCCTTGAAAGTGCCCGGATCCCATACACATGCTGGTTCTAATCCCAGCAGCCCCACTGCCCATCCAGCTCCCTGCTTGTGGCATGGGAAAATAGTCAAGAATGGTCCAAAACCCTTAGACCCCACACCCGTGTGGGAAACCTGGCTCCTGGCTTCGGATTGGATCAGCTCCTGCCATTGTGGTCTCTTGGGGGGTGAATCATCGGACAGAAGATCTTCCTCTCTGTCTCTCCTCCTCTCTGTATATCTGACTTTCCAATAAAAATAAATAAATCTTAAAAAAAAAAAAACTCAGGGTTTATGAATTGGGCTCATCTAGTGTCATCATTCAGGGGTACCTGGCGTTTTGTTCTCTGAGCTGCCCACCAGGTCTTCATCCCAAGGCCTTGTGACCTAGATGGATCCCTTCCCACTCCCAGCCTGTCCCTTCCCACTCTCAGCCTGTCCCTTCCCACTCTCAGTCTGTCCCATGCAATGCAAGTCCAAAGCTCTGAGTCTCGCCCAGGGAGGTCCACCTCCCTTCCTGGCCCCCAGGCCAGAGGGGACAGAATGTGCTGCTGCCCCCCCGAAAGCAGAGAAGTCTTAAGTGCCCTCTCGTCGTCGACTAGCTCCAAGAGTGGCACTCGTGGAGCCATCCACACTCCCTGCCCCCAAGTCTACCCTGCGTCCCCACCGCCACACAACCCTCCAGGGATCTCATGCTGCTGTCCTGGCTTTGCCACCACATTCCTGTGGTTTCTGGAGTATGACCATGGGCCTGGATCCACTTCCCTCATCATCCCTCTTGGAGAGTCAGTCCATCTGGCCCTCACGCAGTAAAGCTCAATCATGTCTTCTCTTCCCCGGTCTCAGTCCCTTTAGTTCAGATCCTCAAGCCCAGGCCGAGGAGCCTGCCAGCTGGCAGGAAGCCCCAGCAGAGCCTCCCTAGGCAGGACATTGAACTCCCAGAGAGCGTGTTAGTGAAAGCTCAAGAAAGAGGTGTGGGGGAGGGTGCGGGCTGCAGTGCTAGCAGTGGGGGGGGGAGGGGGGTCAGGCCATGCGCATCGCTGTGGCAGATGGGGACCCACCAGCAGCACTTCCAGCATCCTGGCTTGCCTCAGCCACTCAGCTGAGTTCTACATGATGTGGCCAGGGGACTTTGTATGCCTGGTTGCTGTCCCAGCTGCCTAGGGTTCCTCTCTTTTAAGTTTCTCTCATGAATGCAGGTTCACGCCAAGCAGCCTCCCCCTGCCGGTGACCTCTGCCACTCATGGGCATTGGCTTCAGCTTGGGCACACTGCTGCTTGAGTTGAGGGTTATGAGACTCATTCATCCCTTGGCTGTCAGACTCCATTCTTGGTGAAGCCATGCTAACTGGCACAGCCTTGCTCTGAAATCCCACGGAGTGGCTGCAATCTGTGTGCTTGTTCTGTCCAGTCCATGGGGCCCATCTGTAGCCAGCTTTCTGTTTGTTTGTCTGCTTTTATTTTTTAAAAATATTTATATATGTTTTACTTGGAAGTAAAAATTAACACAGAAAATCTTCCATCCTCTGGTGCATTCCCCAAATGGTCACAGTGGCCAGAGCTGAGCTGATCTGAAGCTAGGATCCAGGAGCTTCTTACAGGTCTCCCACATGGATGCAGGGTCCCAAGGGCTAAAGCCATCCTCCACTGCTTTCCTAGGCCACAAGCAAGGAGCTGGGTGGGAAGTAGATCAACTAGGACTAGAACCAGCACTGCTGCTGGCTGGGGATTAGCTTCCTAAGCCATGGCAAATACAGCACTGGTCTGGTGATGGAAACTTTAAACAGATCATTTAGTCTCATTCAGTTCTCACCATCATGACAAGGACGGTAAGGCAGGTACAATATGTGCTACTCTTATTTCCTAGGTCACAACTAATCCCAGTATTTTTCTGCTGCATCACACTGAGTCACATTTGTCTGCGGAAGGCAAATAGACATTAAAATACATCAGCTGGTACGTGGCAGATACTTGGTGCAGCAGTTGACACCTGCCTCCCTTATCAAGTGCTTTGCTGGAGTCCTGGCACCTCTGCTTCCTATCTGGGTTTCCACTGATGTGCAGCCAGGGAGGAGGCAGGGGATGGTCCAACTATGCGGATTCCTACCACTGCAAGGACAACACCACCTGAGTTCCTGGCTTCTGGCTTTGGTCTGGCCCAGCCATAGCTATTGCGGGCGGAAGTGGACCAGAGGTGGGAAGATATCTGTCTCTTAATAAGGTGGATAAATCAGTATATAAATAGATAGATAGATAGATAGATAGATATAGCAAACATTAGTCCTAAAAGAAACAACACTTTCTTCTAATGTTCTACAGCATGAAGGACCAGGACCAGGCCATTATGACTGGAAAATACCACCAGCAACTTGCATTACCTCTTGTTTTCAATCCAGAGTCCCTCGGTTCTTGCCCAGCGGCTCGGTGAGTACTGTACAAGGCAGACACCCCCACCAGGGCAGCTGCAGTCATGGGTTGTGTTGGGGCTGGAGGAACTGGGCATGGGTGGTCTTTGGCCTGTTGAGGCAGACAGGGTGTCTAGCATCTGGAAGGCCTTGGCCAGCTGCGGACTCAGATCCTGATGTGATATTGTGCATGCTCCAAACAGGTATCACAGGTGCACCTGTGTGTACCGCATGCTCTGTGTATACTTGCTGTGCTATGGCCACCCACAGCCGTCCTGACCACTGTTTGTGTGTGTGTGGCTTCTGGCAGCCCCAGGAAGCAAAAGGGACCCTTAAGACATGGGGTCATCACGCTGTGCCCAAGGGACAGACAAGGGAATAGGTATGAGTACATGAAGAGAGACAAGGCCACAGAGAATGTGCAAGTGGCCTGCAGGGCCCCGAGTCCACCACAGCAAGTCAGCTCCAGCATCCACGGTTTTGTTAAGCCTAGCCTGTTCCCTGCTCTCTGAGGCCTCAAGACAGCTGGGGAGACAGGAATATGGGCTCACTCTGGGCAGTCAACGGGCGGAAGGAGGAGATTGGGGCACTGGATAGGAGGGGCTAGTTGGCCACTGTGTGGTCCATATGCTAATACCCCCAGCCCCCAGGGTTGCCCCACACTGAGACCTTAGAAATCTCTGCCATGGAGTGGTGTAGCTGCAGTGCCAGAGTCCTGAGGCCTTGACCTAGAGGAGTGCCGGGTGGCGAGATTGCCCACTGACTCACACCAGCAGGCAGGTGCATCACCATGATTTAGAAATACATGTTTCTGAGGCCTTGAGAAAGACTCTGGAGACTGTAGTGCTCAGCTCTCAGCATTCACCTAGAGGGTCCTGGGATCCTGGGTTGCTGCTCTGGGAAGCCCTTCCCTTAGGGGAAATCTGCAGGAAAGTCAAGGCTAGACAGAAGGTCACAGGGTAATAGTCAGGGCCAGAGGGCCAGAGGGCCAGGCTGGCTGTCCTCAAGGAGGCTGAACCTCCTAATATGCAGTGGTTTGTAGGGTTCAGCACCCCATCTCTGCCCCACTGTGCTTGCTGTTCCATGGCCCAGCATCCCAGGGCTGCACATGGCCATGGTGGCCTCCTGAACAGCACTAATAAAGGCCGTGGCTTCCTCTGACGTAGGGCCTAGCCTTGATTAAATTCTCCAGCTGCTCATTCCGCTTCTGGCAAGGGAAACATCCTGTCATTTTTAGCGGCTTCTGCAGGCCCTGCTCTGCTCACTCTCGGCTGTCTCCTAAAGAAATAACTCATCGCAAAGGAGGATGGAAACAGCCAGTGGGAGAGAACAAGGCAACATGAGGTGGCAGGTGGGAAGTATCTGCTGCTGATCTGGCCCAGGGGTCTTCACACACCACAGCTAGGCACACTAGACCCGGATGCCTCAGGGTCCTGCTGAGCCAAGGCTGGTGGACTGGGACTCCGACCTAGGCCTGTGGGACTCTGGTCTTCACCCTTAACTGTTCCATGGGTGTTTCTCCAGGAGAACCCTAGGTCAGCTTTCTTTCAGGTTTTAAGATGTGCAACCCCCTTGCCACACAATCATGGAAAACTCAACCTATGACACTGAAGTCCCACTCTATGAAAATGGTACTCATGGGGCAGAGCTGGCACAATGGCTGTCAACTGACTAATCCTCCACCTGCAAGTGTCAGCATCCCATATGGACACCAGTTCATATCCTGGCTACTCTACTTCCCATCTAGCTCTCTGCTTTTGGCCTGGGAAAGCAGTAGAAGACGGCCTAGAGCTTTGGGCCCCCTGTTCCCATGTGGAAGACCAGGAAGAAGCCCCTGGGTCCTGGCTTCAGATTGGTTCAGTTGCAGCCATTGCCACCATTTGGGGAATGAACCAGTAGATGGAAGATCTTTTTATTTCCGTCTCTTTGTAAATCTGCCTTTCCAACAAAAATAAATAAATCTTAAGCAAACAAACAAATAAAACTGAATTCATTTGCATGTTATCACTAGGGAAGAAAATTTTCTTTAAATAATCAGCAAAATGTGGGGCAAGTGTTGTGGTGTATTAGGTTAAACTGCTGCTTGAGTCATCCCCCAGGGAGCCTGGGATCTCATCCCGTGACCGCTTTCAATCCAGCTCCTGGCTGGTGCACACCCTGAAGCAGCAGGTGCCAACTGCAGTGTGTGGGCTCTTATCACCAATGGGGGACACTTGGTGGAGTTTCTGGCTCCTGCTTTCAGTCTGGTTAAGCTGTTCCAAGCGTTGGAGAAATAAACCAGTGGATGGAAGATCTCTCTCTTATCCTACCTTTTGAATAAGTAGCAATCAGCAAACTTAATAAACAACTGGCAAAATAACTTTTCAGATATTTCATCAAAATGGAAGTGTGACTTCTGGGTGGCCTGTGGTTAAGACACACTGGCATCCCACATTGGAACATCTGGATTTGATCCCTGCCTCCTGCTGCTATTTCCAGGTTCCTACTCACACAGACCCTGGAGGAAGCAGGTGATGGCTCAAGTAACAGTCTCTGTAACCCACTTGGATTGAGTTTTGGGTTCTTGACTTAAACTAACCCAGCCTGAGTCATGGGTGGAGTTTGGGGAGTGAAGCAGCAAATGGGAGTGTTGTCTCTCTCTCTCTCTCTCTTGTTCTCTGCATTGCTCCCTTAAACTAAAGCAACAGGATTTGAAACAGACCTCGCTGATCCCTGCAGACAACTTCTGATCTGGGGCCCACAGAGCCTGGTTAGGAAGCACCTTATTTTCTTGCACTGGGTCAGGGATGGAAACAGACCAAGTCCTAGAGGACTTCTGAATTAGACCACTCAGCTTGAGGATACAACTGCCCCAGCCCCTTGCTGGTAGCCTGGTGTCACTGGAGGGCAGGCTGCGGGCACTCCCTGGGACTGGAACGGCCTGGGCAAAGTGTTCACTGAATGCCTAGAAGTACATGTGGAGTGAGACACCTCCTCCCTGGTCACTGGCTTGTCCTTGACAAAGAGCTGCCCCTGCTCCAAGGACACGCACTCCGTCTGATTCCAGGGTCCACCAGGCTTGAGTGCATCCTAACCAGCAGTAAGGTACAGGCAGGCTCAGGGTCACCACCTCATCACCTCATCACTTCCTATTTTCTGTCTGTTTCCAGAAAACTCCAGGCCCAGGAACATATGCATCAATCGTACAGTTCCCTAAGCAGTCTGCAACTGTGGCCAAAATGGGCCGAGGACACAGTCTCTTCTTCAACAACACCATGGGCTTTTAAAATAAAACCATCCTGATGCTAAGTTATATGGGTTTCTATTAAGTTCTTTTGTTTAGATGGCAGTGTGCTCTTTTCCTTGAAGGGGTCTTTAACCACAGAACACACCCAAGGTGATCTTGCCCGCTTAACTGGGAGGTGTCGTTACCACATCTTACCTGAAGCAGTCGATTCTTTGCTCATGACCAAAGAGTGTATGTGACGGGCTGTACCCTGGGCTGCTCCTGTGTGTCCAGGCTGCGCTGGGTGTGCTCTTTGTTCAGATCTCAGCTCAGTAGGGCTGTAAGAAGCTCCATCAGTAGACACTCGGAGAAGCAGACCTCACCATGCACTTGTGACCCTGAGAAGGAGAGCCCAGCAGCCCTTGCAGACTCACTTGGCCTGCTGAGTTTTAAAGGAAGCAACCAAGTGGCCCCACCCACCCTCTCACAGCCCATAAAGCAGTGGGCCAACCCATGCTCAGAAGCTTGGTCCACTGAGACCCTGAGAAGCAGGAGCGTGGCCATGCCCACCCACCATCAGCCCTGAGACACAGCTGGGAAAGACATCTGACTGCCCCAGGATGCCATGCAGGCAGTCTTTGGACTCAGCCAAGCACCCTAGCTGAGTCACCGCTGTAGCCTGGTCCCCCTGCAGCCCTCAGACCCTGCAGATCCCTCAGTGACCTGTCTGGTGTAATTGGGTGTAGTCAATCATGCCCATCTGGGCCCTGTAGCCTTTTCCTCATACAACCCATGGGAAAGGATGTGCACCCACACCCACCATGGGATGCCCTTCATCTCAAGCTGCTAGGAACCCACCCCACCTAAGGGAGCAGCACCCCAGCTGGCAATGCAATTCCACAACCCTTATAGTCCACCACTGAAAGACATCACCCAAACTGATTACAGCTGAGGAAGCAACAGACATGCTAAATAAAGCACCTACCTGGAAACCAGCGCCAGCACATCCAATCAACACCCGCAGATACATCACTAGTAGAGTCTTTTACCATGAAAGCCACCCTGTAAGACTGGTAGCTGGGGCTAGTGCCATGGCTCAAGAGGCTAATCCTCTACCCTGTGGCACTGGCATCCCATATAGGTACCAGCTTATGCCCTGGCTGCTCCATGTCTGATCCAGTTCTCTGTTTATGGCTTGGGAAAGAAGCAGAGGATGGTCCAAATCCTTTGGACCCTGTACCCATGTGAGAGACATGGAAGATGCTACTGGCTCCTGGCTTTTGGCTTTGGATCATACCAGCTCTGGCCATAGTGGCCATTTGGGGAGTGAACCAATGGATGGAAGACCTTCTCGCTGTCTCTCCTTCTCTCAGTACATCTGCCTTTCACATAAAATAAATCTGAAAAACAAAAACAGATTTGTAGCTACAAATAACCCACAAGATGTACAGGTATCAATGTAGAAATACAAAAAGCATGAAAAAACAAGGTGATATGATTCCTAGAAACAGACACGCTAACTCCCCAACAGTAATTCCCAAAGAGAAGGAAATTACTGAGTTTTCTGATGAAGAATTCAAAGCAACGACTTTAAGAAAACCTCAGTTAGGTACAAGGGAAAAAAGACAAGCCAATGGAATCAAAGGCAATCCTGCTGTGAATGAGAATCAGTGAAGAGCTAGATGACAAAAAAAATCACCTCAATGCTGAACTCAATAACGAAATTAAAAAAAAAATACTGAAAATCTCAAAAGCTGAATTGATTAGCTAGAAGAAAGAATTTGTGAGTGAATGGGTCTGGTGCAGTAGCCTAGCAGCTCAAGTTCTCGCCTTGCACACATCGGGATCCCGTATAGGCACCAATTTATATCCTGGCTGCCCCACTTCCCATCCAGCTCCCTGCTTGTGGCCTGGAAGAGCAGTCAAGGATGGCCCAAAGCCGTGGGACCCTGTGCCCTCATGGGTGGCCTGAAAGAAGCTCCTGGCTTCAGATCAGCTCAGCTCTGGCTGTTACAGCCACTTGGGGAATGAACCAATGGATAGAAGATCTTTCTCTCTGTAAATCTGCCTTTCCAATAAAATAAATCTTTTTAAAAAAGAATTTGTGAGTATAAAAAAAGATATCTTGAAATAGTCACATATATATTATATGTAATATGTATATAATATATATATAATGAAGAAAGTCTCCTCAAGACTTGTAGAGCATCAGCAAGTACGCATGCGTCATCCGATGTATGTTTCCGAAGGAGAGAAGAAGGGACAAGCCACAGAAGGCCAATCCAGCAGAATGGCTATTGAAAAAGATTTCTAAATCTTGAGAAACAACTTAGAAATGACACAAGACGCAAGATTCAAGGAAGCGAGTTCCTCTCCAAGGGATATTATGGTCAAACTGTCAACAGTACAAAATGAAGAGTTCTAATAACAGACAAAGGCATCGAATCACTTGTCAGGGATTCCCCTGATGACAGACTTCTTGGCAGAACTCATACAAGAAAGAATGGAAGAACATATTCAAATTTCTGAAAGAAAGAAAAAATAGCTTAGATGCTCTGAATGACCAATGGGTAAGGAAGACGAAAGAGACATTTGAAAACAACTTAAACAAATGAAAGTGAAAACACCACATACTAAATCCTGCGGGATACAGCAAAGCCGTGGTGAGAACGCAGCTTGCAGCATGAAGTACCCACATCAAAACGGTGCAGATGTCAAATAAACAACCTAAGAGGCTTATAAGGAAAGAAGTACCACAATATCAGAGCAGAAATAAACAAAATAGAGGCTAAAAACATTAATCAACAATGTGTTTTTTTTTAAATATACACAAAACTCACAAGCCTTTAGTTAGACTAACCAAGAAAAAAAGCATCTAAATGAGAGATTAAAAAGGTGATACTACAATTGATACCAAAGAAATAAAAGTGTACCTTTCAGGCAAATAAATCTAAACAAAACAAAAACAAACAAACCTCAAACACAACAGCAAAGGAAAAAAAGTAATGAGTTTTTAGAAAAAATGGCTGAGTGACCTGAATAGACATTTTCAAGAAGATACACAAATGCTCAACAATAATGACCATCAGGGAAATGAAAAATCAAAAATACAATGAGATATCATCTCATCTCTGTTAAAAAGGCTGTTACCAAAAAGACAAACCAAACAGAACAATGAGCCCCACTAACCCTGCGCTGGGGATGCATACCCCATTGATGGGAATGTAGATTAGTGGAGACACTGTGGAAAACAGGATGGGGAATCTTTGCAAAAACTGGAAATAGACCTCCCCTGTTATCCAGCAAGTCCATTACAAGGTTTATATGCAAAGAAATTGAAGTCAATATGTTGAAGAGACATCTGAACTCACATGTTTATTGTAGCATGATTCCCTATAGCCAAGATGGCTCAACCTTGGGGTTCCTGAATGGAAGAAGGGACAAAGAAATGGAATGCTTATTATTCAACCCTAAAAATGAAATGTGGTCATTGGCAGCAACGTGGATGGAACTGGAGGACATTATATTAATAAGCCCAATTCAATCTCTTCTCATTTACTAATGGAAGCTAATAAGTTGATCTCAGCAAAGTGGAGAATGGACAGATCCCTGGGGAAGGAATGGACAGACAGCGTGAGTAATGACTGCAGGAGTACTGTTGGCGGGGAGGGATAACTTCTCATGTTCAATAGCAGGGTAAGGTAAGTGCATTTGACAGCAATTAATTGAATAGTTCAAGGTAGCTAGTAGAGGAGCTTGAATGTTCCTGGTACAACACATGAGGATATGACTGGCACAGCAGCTCTACCAGTTACCCAGGTCTGGTCACTGCACAAATGGAACTACACTTAAAGAACTACACGACGCGTATGGAACCATCACCCCACACCCCGCAAATACGGACAATCACTGTAACTATTGGAACTGTGTATGCCAACAGTGGGATAACATACCTGAATTATATAATTTCTCCCAGCTTGATTTAGTCTCGTGTGGCTTTGTTCCGCCTGGCCTGGGGAGCAAAAGGCCATCCCATCTCTGCAGAGTGTGGCCTAAACATGTGGTAGGTACACCCTCGAGCTGTGTGTATGCACTCTGAAGTCGACGCAGAATTGTCTAGTAACACTGTCCTTAGAACATAACCCCGTAGTTGAGCAACATATGACTGTATTTCTGGTTTCAAATCAACACTGATATTTTCAGTGTTCCTTATGTTCTAGAAGCTGTGCTGTGGCTGGGGAGTAAGAGCTTGAAATAACATCAAATGAGGCATGGCCTAACCCAGGGAGACAAAGCCAGGAAGGCAGCAACACATAGTTCAGGCTTGGGGAAGGCTTTGAGAGCTGTGCCAAAAAAGTTCTTGCTGTGGTGTGGCGAGGGTAAGCCTCTGCTTCCAATACCGGCATCCCATTTGGATGCTGGTTCATGTCCCTGTTGCTCCACTTCTGACTCAGTTCCCTATTAGGGGCTTGGGGAAGCAGCAGGAAAGGACCCTTCCATTCACATGGAAGATCTGGAAGATGCTCCTGGCTTCAGCTTGGTCCAGTACTGGTCTTTGTGGTCATCCGGAAAGTGAACCTGTGGATGCAAGATGGCTTTCTCTCTCCTTTCTGTGTAACTTTGATCTTCAAATAAATAAATTTAAAACAAAACAAAACAACAAGTCTTGGTGACCAGTTGGGTTTGAAGTTCAGAAGCTGCCCTGAAGCAATGACAGCTTCACTGGCAGGAACGCTCAACTTCTGGTAAGATACCAGACCACTGTACCAGGTGCACAGAGGAGGCAGAAGGAGGCACAGGCAGAGCGTGACTTGGCCAAGTCCTCAAGGAACCCAGAGCCTGAGATTAGAGAGAGGATAGAAGTGGGAAGAGCACTGGGAGCAAGCAGCCTTATCTGGGCAAAGGCCCCAGGTGGGGATAAACACCTGCCAAAGGGGAATGGAGGAGGCCTGGCCTCAGGATGGTGGAGGAGGGCAGCCCCATTGGGATGCTGTGACTACAAACAGCCCTATATGTGCCAGGACCTTCCTCCCTGCCCCGGGAGCTCCAACCAGCAGAGCCTATGCAGGGCACCCAGCACCTC